CCCCCCCCCGAAAATTTGTACAACAAAAAAACGAACATAATTTGTTTTGTTTAAACCCCACTAAATTGTAATTTTTATATAATTTTTAAAAAGAACTGGTTGTCTTTCGCCAGTTAGTCTACAATTAGTTGAACCGATGAAACATCGCTACGCTCTATATCAGGGGGTCACCAAACCGCGGGCCGGATTTTGCCCACTGACGGTACTTGAATTTGCTCGATAAAACGTATGGAACACGAGATGTTGTGATATAATTTAAATGTTAAGTTAAGAATAGTAGGAGTCGGGACATCTTCGCACGTGCGGAGGAGGCCTTCTGGCTTCCATGCGTCTTGAATTTACCATTTTAAATAACTTTTTCTAGATTTTCTTTTTATAATATGGTATCTTAATTGTCAATAAATAAACATGCAGTATATATAATGAATACAATAGCTAATCGCAGTGCCTAGTGGGAGCGAGTTAATCTGGCGTCAAAAAGTTACCATCTAAAAGTAAAAAAAATATATAGCAATTGGTGATCCCATTTTGTGCAGATGCGTATTTGCTATAGATATTAATTTATATTGAGTGGACATACAGATCACATTATCACAGTCTGTAACTGATAAGATAAGAATAGATAAGACAAGATTCTTTTTTTTTTTAAAAAATGGAAATTTGTTTGATTGCATTATACATTTTCAGCACATAAATAAAATAATTTGAACACAAGACATTTATAATAAAGTTTTTCGAACAGCCATCCAGTGAGTTCTCTTAGCCACATCAGGGACTTATTAGTTCTCATTAAGAGGGAGCACGCTGGTAAATTCGTACAGATTGGGGAACAAAACAATCCTCGCCCTGATGGAAAGAATTCGTCCCGAACGGCCCGATCCTAAGTATCTGTGATGAAGAGGGTGTGATGTATCATCCAAAATGTGTTTAGTTTTACAAAAACATCTTTCTTCAAATAGTTCTTCAAGTGAAGGATGTTTAGTTTGTGTTAGGTTCCTACCTTTCTTGATTAGTCGGTTTATGCGGTGTTTAATATCAGACGTTGAATTCCCACACCAGCAGGTTATACTGAAATTAATCAGGCTTCCAATTGTTACACCGTAGAATAAGTTAACGACTTGCTTGTTTACGTCGAAATTGTAGCCAACAGTTTTTTTGAGGTAGAACAGTAAACAAAGTTACCGGTGAAATTAGGCGTGGTTCAAACTCAAAGTCAAATCAGCAACAAACAAGATGTGTTTCAATAAGATTTAATTGATGAAATCATTTAAAAAACATACCAAATAACTCGAGCTTCTTTTTTAATTATTTTTTTTTTTTAAAGGAAAAGCTGGTTTAAAAAATAATTTTAAAAAAGAATCAATATCCATTCATCCTTTTCCCGCTAATATGTTTACAGTTTAAGTCTGACAACTACCACAAACTGTAAATGGGTGAAAGGAAGAGAGGTGTTTGAAAAAAATACGGGGGAATTAAAAAGCGAACTCGCCGCTTTCGGAACTATCAGCCTTTCGGCAAATTCAGCTGTGCGGAGAGCAGGGGAACTTGGAACTTGGATAGAGCATAATGGTACAGATAGCCTGCATGAGAACACTAGGAACCTTCTCTGTCGCTGGATGAGCCTACTGATCTCTCGAGTACGTCACAACTTCTCGTGTTTTTTTTTTTGTGTGTGGTCAATTTGGACTTTCAGATAACCCAAGAGCTGGCATCCGTTTGCAGCATACACGAAACAACAACTGGAAAAGACATTTTCATGGAAGTGCAACACATTTCGCACACAAAACACTTCAGTGGAATCAGCTTTCGAGGTTTTACAGGTGATGGAGGAAAAACATGGCTGGCTGGGGTGAGGCAGTGCCGTAGCTAGGGGAGGGGGAGGAGGGTCCAAATTCGAAAGTCCCCCCGGGCCCCTACTTGAGGGGGCCCAAAAAGGCGTGTCCGAAATATTTTTTACACTTAATAATGTCGAATGTCAAAATGCAGGAGCCCCTAAAGAGGCCAAGCCCCCCGGGCCCCCAAATCCACCCCCCCCCAATCCCTAGCTACACCACTGGAGTGAGGACATGTCTGGTGGGGCAGATCGTCAAGTTTTTCAGTGCTTCCTTCCACTTTTCAAACTCTACCACTGGGACTTCTCATCCGAACATCTGAAATGCCCCCCCCCCCCCTTTTCAATCCCCGCTCGGAGGAAATTTCTGAAAAGAAACACTGCTGCTAACTGCTGCTCTCATTTGGCGTATCATTACAGTAAAATTCAGCACTCTTACTTTCCCCACCGCTGTCTTCCCAGCAAAGCACTCACTCTCAAAATGGAGATTGATAAAGAATTATTTGATAAGTAGGCTAACACAATTCAAACTGTCTTCAGTAGCTGTCAAGCTGCAAACAACCAAAAAATTAATATAATACTTTTTAAAAAAAATAATATAATATAATAATAATAATAATTTTCGTTTTTTTAAAGACGTTGCTTGATTCATGTTTCTCTTTCAGGAAAGCGCTCCTTGACTCAGACCGATTACTGACATTAATTTCAACTTGTGACCATACTTTGTCTTATATTGAAAGCTGTTATAACTCGAAAAAGGAAGTCGCCCAAGGGGCCGTCCATAAAGTACGTCACGTTCCAGAGGGGGGGGGGAGAGGAGGTGTAAGAAAGTGTGAAAGTTTGTGACAGGCGGAGGGGGGGGGGTTCAGGCCAATGTTCCCTTTAAGCTGCGCGGCTGTGTGGCCGCGCAGCAATCTCACAATCGCCGCGCAGCAGTTTTGAGTACCGCGCAGCTAATTTCCACTTAAGTGTCTGTCGGCTGTAAAATTTTGCACACAAAAAAATTGATGCTGTAAAAATGTGCACACAACTTTATGATTTTGCACACGAACCAACAAACCTTAGAGGGAACATTGGGTCAGGCCATGTGTGACGTCACACATTTATTTTTTTAAATTTTATTTCTAATTTATTGTTTATTTTTCTAGTAGAATTTAATAGCTTTAAAAATAATTTTCAAAAATTTTGTGAAACATTTGAATTAGTTTTATGTCAAAATAGCATAAAATGCGTATCTCCTGAATGTGTTGTTCACGATTCCTCTCGCTAGGAGCGCTAGTATGCTGTTGCGAAGCCTTGTTTTATGTATAGCCTTGCCGAGATCAACAGGAGTTTTCAAAGTACAACCATATGATCTTTATTGTACATCTTTGCAGACCAGCTTACTTGATTGAATTTGCAAAGTATGTCACTTACACTTTGCCTCACAAACAATGTCGAAGAAACATACATGACAACACAGAGCTCGGGCTCGGGAGAATGTGCCAACCCAGACTGTTCCAGAATCAATTCAGATAAAACGTATCAGTCCTTTTGAGAACCGCTGCTAGAAGAAGGCAAAGAGAACTCGTGGCAGTTATTGCCAGAAGAGAAAACGCACATTCAGAGGATGTTGAGTGGCTACATGAGGATGAAGTTGATCTGTCTGCAATTATCCTTCCAGGAAACGATGATGGTAAAAGATTGATGCCAGTCGTAACTATGTATGAACACTTCACGATGGATGGATGATGTCCAGTGAATATTTTTGAATTAAACATAATTCACAGGCCCATAATAAACAGATTCAATATAGCACAAGAGTTTGTCACATAATTTGTCAATCTAGTCTTTTTTAGTCAAATTGTTTTGTTTCCTTTTTATTATTTGATCACTGGGTGAGGTCAAGTTTTAATATTGAAGTGTGGTTTAGATTAAATTTTAATTAGGTGTTAATTTTTTTTAAAAATTTGTTCGAAAGTGTGGCGTACTTTAGGGGGGTGGTCCGAGATTTGTGACAGTTTGTGACAGGGGGAGGGGGGTTAAAATGGTCAAAAATAGCGTGACGTACTTTATGGACGGCCCCTAACCACTTGAACACCCAGGAGCATGTGTGACGCCGGACTCGTATAGATTTGCCTATCCTGACATTAGACAATTAACCCAAAATAACTTGCATAACGCGTTAATTAGTTCTAACAGATGAACTATATTTTTTTAAACTTGAAATTCTTATGTCTGATTAAAATAAAAAATTAGTAAACATTGATTTAATTAAAACGCGATCAAACATCTATTAGTTTTAACACTAGTGGCATACATACGACAATAGTACACAATAAATTATACAGATTGAGGAGGCTGGGGTGAAATCTGAGAAAACTGGGATGTATGATAAGCCTTACACTTAGTTTGTGGTGCTACAGTGCTATGAGTGTGTCGTGCTATAGTGATAGAGTGCTATAGTGTTATGCGTATGTCGTGCTATAGTGATAGAGTGTTGTGTATGTGTGTCGTGCTGTAGTGATAGAGTACTATAGTGCTATGAATGGGTCGTGCTAAAAGGCTATAGTGATAGAGTACTATAGTGCTATGAATGGGTCGTGCTAAAAGGCTATAGTGATAGAGTGCAATAGTGATAGAATGCTATATTTTATATATATATATATATATATATATATATATATATATATATAGTGCTATGAGTGTGTCATGCTATAGTAATAGAGTGTAATAGAGTGCTATGTGAGTGTCGTGCTAAAGTGCTTTAGTGATAGAGTGCTATAGTGCTATGAGTGTGTCGTGATGTAGTGCTATAGGGATAGAGTACTACAGTGCTAAGGGTGTGTCGTGCTATAGTGATAGAGTGCAATAGTGCTGTGTGTGTGTCGTGCTAAAGTGCACAGTTTGATCGGAACTTAGCGTTAAACTTGTAGTAAATAACAAGATTAATGCTGGAATGAAACATTTGCGAGATGGTCATGATATTAATGGTTGCGATACTTAAGTTCTGGTACTGCTTACCAATGGTCAGCTCGGACTCAAATATCCCAGCAATGTTAACTAGGATTTTGGGCATGTTGCAGACAACGTACACCAGTGAAATCAACAGAACCTGTCTTACTATCTGAAGATCTTTCCTTCCCAAATGCGCGGCTTGGGTAGCCCGTCTTACAGTCTGGAGATCCCTCCTCCCCAACTGTGTGACTTGACTACCTAAAGGTGGAGCCGTTCGCGCCCCAGAAGTGCTGACTTCAAATCTGGATTTAAGCGTCTTGACGTGTACACCCGACATCTGCCGGAATGCCGTCGCCTTCCTCAGCCTCGCGGCCATGATGATGACGCAGACGAGAAGGACGACCTGTGACGTCATCGACAGCACCGTGTCTCGGACGGTCCACACGATGACCTTGATGAATTCCCTCTCCGTCGTTATCCACAGCAGCGGCCGGCTGAAATTGACCCGCACGTCGAACTTAGGGTCGACGCCCATGTTCGCAAGAACCGGAAGATAGCTGCCAACCGTGAAAACGGCACAGCCCAGGAGCACGGCGACGGTTCGCGCCAGAGTGAACGTGTTCTTGAAGTGGAGGGGTCTCGCCACGCACATGCAGCGCGCCACGGCGAGAAACATGGTGGTGAGCGTCGACATGACGTACAGGAGAAAACTGGCGTTGGCGGAGATGACGTAGCCAGCGAAAGGATCCATGGCGAAGCACGTCTCGTAGGACGTGCCCATCTCCACGGCCCAGAGGAAAGAAAAAGCCCCCACGCCGACCGTGGTCAGCAGGAAGCCCAGGTCGGACAGGGACAGGCAAAGAAACGAAGCCGTCACGCTGTCCCCCGGGCCCATCCTGACGAAGGCCCGGATGTTGACGGTCTTTGTGACCGAACCGAAGACGCCAAGGGTGAGGTAGACGCACGCAAACATCCACGTGGCGTGCATTTGTTGGTGGTTGTTGAAAAGTCCATTCGCCACCTCCGTCTGTATAATTGTTAACATCATTTTTTGCCGTATTCACTGAAGCTCCACCTGTGACCCGAAATTGACATCATAAATCATTCATTTCAATCTTTTTTCAAAATGTTAAGTTACAAAACCCCGCACATGGTAGGCCTACTTAATAGATAGGCGATCGTTTTGACGATTCTTTAATGGCATGAACGCCTAGTAAACGCTCAGCCATATACCATTATAGTAATTTTCGTTTCTCCACACTTATATAAATCGTTATACTGTAATGTTACATTTATAATTCTGAAACAGGAGCGTAGTTACGAAACAAGGAAATTTAACAAGGGACAAAATATTGTATCAACCGATTATCTCCCATAAATGTCGAACAGGTCAGATCAGCTGCTGATGGATGAACTGTCACGATAAAATACACGTAAATTATACATCAAATATCGCAATTCCAAAACAAATGGCCAAATTCTAAATCTCTTTTTAAATCGGTGAAAGTTCTTGAAAGAGCAGTTTCCACCGTTTCAACATGACCCACGTACTTGCACAACAGTTTCCGCTGTCTCAACGTGGCCCTCGTAGAGGCAACATGAGCGATGAAGTTTAGTGCTAAATAAATATATATTAGACCAATATCTACACCATGTTCAAACGGTTTTGAAATGTTCATATTACTGACTATATTACAGTTACACATATATTTATAGATCTAGTTTGGGGACAATGACGTCAACAAACCCGCACGCGCCCGACGTCAACCAATCAAATAACGCCCCCGATGTTTTATATGACAGATCTCGAGCTCAACCCATGCTAAAAGTATCGATACGAGGCGTACTGCTTCGATAGTTCTTCATGAAAACGCCATGCCAAAAGTATCGATACGGGGCAGATTGCTTCTACAGTTCCTCGTGAAGACGCCATGCCAGCAGCAAGTATCGAAACGAGGCAGACTCTACAGTTTCTCGTGACGACGCCATGCCAAAAGTATCGATACGAGGCAGACTGCTTCTACAGTTCCTCGTGAAGACGCCATGCCAGCAGCAAGTATCGAAACGAGGCAGACTCTACAGTTTCTCGTGACGACGCCATGCCAAAAGTATCGATACGAGGCAGACTGCTTCTACAGTTCCTCGTGAAGACGCCATGCCAGCAGCAAGTATCGAAACGAGGCAGACTCTACAGTTTCTCGTGACGACGCCATGCCAAAAGTATCGATACGAGGCAGACTGCTTCTACAGTTCCNTGGCTTTTTTTTTGCCAAGGGTAGTGTTTTTTTTTTTTTTGTTTTTTTTTTGTCTTTTTGTTTTATTCCTGGAAGGAGACGCAAAAATTCTCAAATTCTCGGCCAGCCCCGGGCGGTGTTAGTATTAACTCTAGTTACGCCACTGGCTTCTGGTGTCAGTGTTGGAAGTATATGTCGATATAATAAGTATCCATTATCTTAGAGTTGTATTATGTATTTAAAAAAAAAAAATCTTCATTGTCAATGGATATTTTCGAAGAAATTATTCCACTTGTATGTGACATTTATGATGAATAGAACTAGACTACATTAACAGTGAAATGGTGACGCAGTGCACTCGTGATGATTACGTAACGGGCTTCAACTATTTCAACCACCGAACTCGGTTATAGACACGCATGAATAGGACAAGCAGAGCTAGTTTATCCCAGGTCATACTGATGCATTTAACACAAAAAAAGAAGATGTATGAGAAGCAGACATGAGCAATAGCTGAACCACTTCTTAGCACTATTTAAATGGACTCGCCCCAAGCTATAGCTGAACCACTTCTTAGCACTATTTAAATGGACTCGCCCCAAGCTATAGCTGAACCAATTCTTAGCACTAATTAAACTCTTCGAGCTATAGCTGGATTACTGTTTAACAATGCCCAAAAGGACTCTACAAGCTATGAGCCGAACCAATTTCTAACAATGTTTAAATTGACCCTCCGAGATAGAGTTGAACAACTTCTTAGCAATCTCCTGATGAAATCTCCGAGCTATAGCTGTTCAGTATTGTCCTAAAGGACTCTCCGAGTTATATACAGCTGAACCAATTCCTAGCAATGCCCCAGGGTACTATCCGAACTTTAGCTGAATCCCTTCTTATCAGTGTCCTAAAGAGCTCTCCAAGTGTTTTGAAGTAAAAAAAAAATCTTGAGTCCGACAGGACGGCGTGGCATCGACATGGATAAAACCTCAAAGGATGCCACTTTGAACCAAGAGGCCCCTCACTGGATTTTAACTGGCAGATGACTAAAGCATCCAAGGATCAGCTGGGAGGGGGGGGGGGGTCATGTTGATAGCCTGATCAGTTGCACTCGAACTTTAAAGAGTGAAAAATGAGCAGGCAGGTAAGACCGAGGGGCAGGCCGTAACCTCTTAACAACTGGGCATGTAACTATCAGTGGTCAGCTTCTGCGTCATCGCCATGAGGAGTGACAATGCATGGGCAGCACGTCCAAATGAATAGACATTTAGAGACAAGACGGCAGGGTGCAAACACAATCGGCCCCACTTCCAATTAATAAAGTTGGATACCAGCGCCAGGATGCTTGATGCAGTCTTTACGGCCAACCTTTGCTTACCATTGTGAGACTTGGGCCTTGGGCCCTGAAAAAAAAAAAAAGGTTCGAGAGTAAACTCTTCCCCCTTGCGAAATGAAA